TAAGTAAAATCACACTGAACCGCGTTTATATGGCTTACAACGACGAACAGTGAAATGTAGGGTGAACTCAACTTTTCTATGAGAGCAAAGCCGAAGTCTTGAGCGCTCTATCACCCTGAGTGAAAGAGTATCGGTGAGAAGTAAACATAGAAGGGCACAAACAGTCAGAGAATGAAGCAAAACTTATAATTATGGTAAACATTATGAGCATGTGATAAATGAGTCTCCACATACACCAAATGATGATATAGAGAACCCGAAACTAGTGAAAAGCTAACGGTAAACAGGAAACATCAGCAGAGTTCAAAAATTGATATATGTAGTATACATGGTAACAGTTTCACGATGATCGATTGTACCGACTCCGAGCCACATAACTTAGCTCTCTTGTACAAAAGAGCGTCCAAATTGCAGGGGGACACAGAGTATAGAAGATTTGTTGCACAGAGATTTGTTGCAATATAAAATCAAATCAATGATTTTTGCAACGACCTTAGGGACAAAGGGTTTACGTCATCAGTTAGAACCATAAGGATGCATTTCAATCAAGAGAATTTGACCCATCCAAACGTATATAGAGGAAAGAAGAATGTAAGAAATGGAAACACATTAAAACTTCAATTTGAAATAATAAATGTCTCTGGTCAATTGAGAAGGACGAGAAAGTGAACACGAAAGCTCAGCAAATCGGAAAGGAATCCGTCACAGGCAGACTAATTCACAAGGAAAGAAATATTTTCTGAAGTCGAAAAGGGACATACCTTGCGCAAATGCTGAGATCAAATCAGGCGTCAGCTGAGTCATTACATTTTCTTTAGACGTCGGTGAATTCGGCCGCGATGTACTTTCGGGGTTTACGGGGGTGACGCTGACTGGAGAAGGGACTGCCTTAATCATTTCGCAATGAAGTTGATGGTAGGATGAGGATAGTTCAGAGAGAAAACTCTCTCATTCAATCTGCTAATGTCAGCAAAAATGTCGTGAAGTCCTGCCTCCAGTCTCCGAACAAAAGAAAAAGTAATCAAAGCAAAACTAATTTACCTTTGTACGTTTAGTCTGCTTCCTTCGCCTATTTGCAAACCATCGATTTACCTAAAGAAAAGTTTACTATGACAAAATGAAAAATAGCATAATGCAATAAGAAGAGCTAAAATGGATCCGAACATATTTCGTCTGGCTGCAGATCAAGAGTTATTTGAAAAATAAATAAGCAGGGACCGAGATATTAAGTGTTGTTCTTCTTATGTGTTCGCACAAGATTCATAACCGATGTCGGTGCTGGCCGCTATCGATAGCTCGCAAGTCGGTGACTCATGCTACAGGGTGGGGCTTATAG